TAGCACCACAGCCTCTGCTACCCTGCACAGCACCCACACAGTTTCGCGCCCCCACCTCCCACCCCCGCAGCTTTCTGTGGCTTCCTCGGTCCCCACAGCTTGCCACCAACCCCGCGTGTGGCTCCCACACGGCTGCCATGGCTTCCCATGGCTACCGCAGCCTATGCGCACCTGCAGCATGACTGCCTTGACTGGCACCTCTTTAACAAAAATGCATTCAGTTTGCTTTTGAGTTCTGCTTAGATATTAATCGTGCTACACGGGGCCTTTCTTTCTGCAATTATCCCACCTCCTCCAGCAAAAGTACATGTGGATAAATGCCAGGTAGGCACGACAGTCCTCCTGTGATTCCATTCTCCGCGGAAGCCAGCTAACAATAAAGACTAGCCATATCTGTGAGCTCCGGGTTTGAGAGGAACCCTGTCTCACTGAATAAGGTAGAAGAGTGATGGGAGATGATTCCTGACAACCTCTGGCTTCCACATGCATGTGCATATATGTGCATGCACCACACACACACGTGCATGCAGAAGACATGCATGCATACATGTATGTGTGCACATACATAAAAAATGGAAGAAGAAAAAAAAATGTGGGCCAGGATAATTTCTCTGGTTGCTGTTTCCTGGGGCCCCTCTGCTGAGCTCTGATAGGCAAGGAGGTGCACAAGCCTCTTTCACCGGCATATAAAGAACCCAATTCCACCCCATATATTGCCTCCCACACACTGAGTGTGTTTAAAGGGACCCAGAGATGAACTTTCATAATTTCCTCCTTTGTATAAAGGAGGAGCAAACCCCTTCCGTCCTCTTTCTCCTTCCATGCCCAAAACCACTCACTAACCTCTTGACCATTTTGAGAAGAAGGGATATTTAGCGTAAGAGGCCCGGCTGTTGATTCATTTTCCCAAACAGAGCCAAACCACAAAGCAGCATATTGCAAGGGAGAAAAAGTCAATAAGCAGCATTTGAAACAAATTTCAGAGAACATACAAGTCATTAGGCACCAGGGTCTGGGCCTGCCAGCTAACTCGTACAGGGAGGCGGGCGGAAGGAGAAGCTTCGGTCTGTCAGGGGCAGCAATGAGGTTTCCATGACACCAGCAGCTCTCTTGGATCGAGTTCAGGATGTTAACAGCCCATTCTGCAACTATAATGAACAAGCCTTGGAGAGGAGGAAGTCCACAGCCTCCTCCCACAGCAGAATGAAGATGCCTAGTGGAGTGAGTACCAGTGAGCAGCCCACTGTGGGAGCCAGGGATAAGATTCTGTAGGTGGGGACTGCTTCCTGGAAATGCTTATGCACTGAAGAGATTGACTTTACACATGGGCACCAGTGCATCTGGGTCAAGCCATGGGCACATCCTTTGATGTCCTATCCTATGGTTTTTAGGTGATAAATGCACCATGTAAACAGACAGGGAGAGTCAGTTGGCAGGAGCAGCTGTGTACTGTTACCCACAGCAACGTGAGGTGTTCTCCCAGAGACCTCCATTCCAGAGAGCTTGGGATTGCTGGCCCCAGCAGAGAATTTCAGGGCCAGTCAGTGTTAACTGGGGATGGAGCTTAGTTTTGAAGAGGATTTAGTATAGATTAAGCGTGAGCATAAAAGGGAAGCGAGACAAAAAACTATTACTGAAGTTGTCAGTGTCAGTGTGGGCTCAGGTAGTTCTAACAGCTAGTCCCTGTCACCCATCCTCAGGGGGCCAACTAAACAGACAGGTGATAAGGTTCGTGTTAGAAGGCTAGACACACACACAGCTAAGCAGTCACGGTCAAGGTGTGGGGTGCCCCCACCATCATCTAGGCTCCTGCCCCCCAAAAGGCAGTCACGCTGTCAGAGCTGTGTAAGATTTCCTCCTGGGAGACATCTTCCCCCTCTGGGCAGCACCCAGCCTCAGCCTCTTCCTTCTCTCAGTCTGAGATTCCTGGGGAAGTTCCAAGTTTCCATTCACAAAATTCCATCAATAAACAGTCTGATGGCCAAAGGGAGGTCACAGATGTCTCTTTAAAATATCATCATTCCTGCCAGGATAGCTACAGGGCCCGACGAGAACAGTGCATACCCATGGGTGGGAAGGTGGTCTGCGATTCATTTTTATGCATCATTGTTGTTGTGTATGCATGAGTGCAGCTGCACAAGGGCCACAGTGCATGTGTGGAGGGCAGAGGATAACTTTGCGGAGTCTCTTCTCCCCTTGCACGTTCATGCGAGTTCCAGGATCAAATTCAGATGGGTTCGTATAGCAAGTGCTTTTACCTGCTGAGATTTCCCTGGGTATGCGTTTCTTAAGATAAAGTCTCCCTTAAGCATCTTTGTGGTCATAAACGCTGCTTGGGTGAGTTCTGAAGTTGCACTGTTCATAGGGTTTTATGAAATTTGGGGTATTTGTTCTTGCTGGCGGTGGTGGTAGTTAGTTGGGCTTTGTTCTTCAGTGGATGAGACCATAGAGTTCTCCTGAAGAGCACTGGATAGGAATGCAGGCCAATAATATAAAAACACAGATGAAAGGACGGAAGGTACCGGTACTATACTAGGTTAGATCAAGGATATTAAGACACATACCTTTATCGTAAACGAGGTGGTCTTGCTTGTGAGAGTCAGAAAGTTTCAGTGTTTGTCAGTTTGCTTTGGAGAACTGCCTGATTATTTCCAACTCACTAATACAGAAAACAAATTTTGTATGGTCAGCAAAAAAGTAGAGGTGACAAGAACATGGGTCTCTTTTGGACTTTCTTTCTCCTGCTCATTCAAAGGATAATTCATTAGTTCCTGATGGGATACAGTCCATCATGGTGGGGAAGGCACAGCAGCAGGAGCGTGAGGCCGGCTTGGCAGACAGGAAGCAGAGTGACCTCACTGCATCTGCAATGGGAGCATTCCAGGTTTCCAGTGAGAGAGCAACTCTCAACTCAGAGGTCATGCTGCAGCCCTCCAGTGTGCCTCCAGTGGAACATTCTTATCTGAAATGTCTGTGTTAGCCAGTCAGTGGTGGCACACCCCTTTAATCCCAGCACTCGGGAGGCAGAGGCAGGCGGATCTCTGTGAGTTCGAGGCCAGTCTGCCTGGTCTATGGAGCAAGTTTCAGGGCTGGCTCCATAGCTAATGAGAAACCCTGCCTTTAAGCTGGGGATCGAACCCCAGGCCTAACGAATGCAAGGTAAACACTCTTATCAAATGAGCTGTACCTCCAACCATCTTCCAGGCCCCTTTAAATTTGTTCATCCCTGAAACACTCCCAGCCTGTGCTGCTACGTTGCCTTGCCCACATCAAGCTGCATCCTGGGCAGCCTTCATCGCCCCCCTCAAGACTCAGAGGTCCTCACTCCTAGCCTCTGCCCTGTACCTTGATCGCTTACCTCCCCCAACCCAGGAGCCCCCCTCACAGCCAATGCCCTGTGTTGTGCCACCTGGGGCGGAGGCACTCATTCCAGCCTGGTGCTAGAAATCCGTGGCCCTGTGCTGAGCCCCGCTTTAGAATTTGGCCTTAAAGACAGTCAGCTCTCCTAGGAGCCCTGCCATCCTTGGACTGCAAATGGTTCATGACTGACAGAGATGCAATGTCCACTCCTCCCAGGTAATTCTCTGGGTCCTTTCATCCCGAGCTTGCTGACAGCTGGGGGAGGCCATCCATCCATGTAGCGTCTCTCTGGTTACCTTCTGTCCGCCTAGTCATCTTTCCTGACTCCACCTAGGGTTGGTTGTCTTAGATTGGTATCCCCGTGTCCCAAAACGGCCCCCAGAGAGGCTAGTTCACACCAAGTAACATGGTTAAGTAGCCAGCCTGGGAACAAAGAGACCTCTGCTATTTTGAGCTCTGTGATCTGGGCCATTACATGACTTTCTCAGGTGACTGCTTCTGTTGTCATGGGAAGAATAGGGAGCAATAGTTTGTGTATCTGAGGTGTGGTGAGAATTAAAGGAGACCATGCGTGATCCCCAAAGAGCACTCGAAAGCCATTGTCGGTGCCCTCTGACCTCTCTGAGGCACCGACAAGTGGGGATTGGCTGTCTCTTCCATGTACCTTGCTGGTGAGAACAAAACAGATTGAAATCTCATTTGGCACTGGTTTGTAGTCTCAGCAAACTGGAGGTGGAGGCAGAAGGATCAAAAGTTCAAGGTCATCCTCAGCCAAGCGGTGTTTGAGCCCAGTCTGTAAATACAAGAGAACCTGTCACACACCCCCACCCTTCTGATTCTCAACCCCCTCACTCCCTGACAGTTCAACTGATAGGCAGTACCAGGTTACAAGCTGTGTTGCCAAGACCTAACACAGACTCCTAGGGTGATGTTCCCGGAGATTTTGCCCATCCTGGAGCTCTGGTGTCGAGGCTGGGACCCTCCTCCACCTGGAGAGAATTGCTGCAGGAATCCCCACCTGTGTGCTGGCCTAAACCAGCACTGGCTTCTCTTCCAGTTCAAGCACCTACCTCTACCTGAAATCCCAGAGCCAGCAGTACCTCCCGGGGCTCTAGAGGAGGATCAGTTTCTTGCTTGTTCATTTCCGGTTGTTAACCCAATCTGGTCCTGCGACTGTCGGGTCAAGGTCTCCATTCTCTCGCTGGTTGTAGAAAGCTCAGCCAGCATCTTTATTGTTTGTGGGAGGATTTAGGGTATGTGCCTCTGACCTACCCTCTCTAATCACTTGATTTAAACACTCTGAGATATTAGGCCCGCCTCCATGATCCAAGTACCTTGGTTTCCCTGTCTCACAGTCCTCTGTCACATCTGCAAAGTTCCTTTTGCCATATAATAGAAGCAGCCAGGTACAGTGGTACAAGCTTCCAACATCCCCCAACCCCATTCCACCCCCAGTTACCCCCACCAATTTTCAAGCAGAAGCAAGCGGATCTTTGTGAGTTTGAGTGCAGCCCTGGCTATGCAGTGAGACCCTGATGTAAAGAAAAGAGCAGGTGCTGGGAATGAGAGCACAGGCACTACGCTGCCTGCAGCCACCCAGACTGGGAACCTCATCTTATACCCAGGCCCTCTTTGTGCAGGGAGAAGTGTGTGCTGTTCCCTGCGCTGCTGGGACCTATGGTCCCAACTGCTCCTCTGTATGCAGCTGTAGCAATGGCGGCACCTGTTCCCCTGTGGATGGCTCCTGCACTTGCCAAGAGGGTAAGTTTCCCTTCAGCTCTATCCCCAGGCTCAGGTGTGCCAACAGATGAGGGTCTCAGGCAGGCCACCACTCAGGGTCAAAGGGTCTGTGCAGGTCAGATTCCAGCCCAGGGGAGTCACAGCTGGAACCAGGAGAACAGGAGTGTCTCCTGAGTTTGGAGATGCTGAAGGCACAGAGAGAGAAGGCGAGCCACATGGGCTGCCCGGACAGAATGGGGAGACCGAGTTCCCTGAGCCTGGACAAGAGACTTACCCAGTGGGAACGGAAAGGGCTTTGTGGAGATGCTAGAGGTCCACAGAGACACAGTCACTGTCGAAGGCCTGCCCACGTGGGGAATGCTGGTACACACCTGTCATCCCAGCACATGGGAAGCAGAAGTAGGAGAAACCGTAGTTCTGGATTAGCCTGGGCTACAGAAAAAAGTGTTCTCTGACAAAGCTAAGGAAGGTCCAGCCTGGGAGGCAAGGAGAGAGAAAGGTGCACCTGGCTCCTTCCCCATTCTGGTCTTGGGGGCAGGTCTCCCTCAGGAAGCCTGCTTGGAGGCAGAAGCTGGGAAGCAGGGTTCTGCATTCCTGGGGGTAGCCTCCTGCTTGAGGGAACAAAGGAGGGAGGGGGTTCAGTCCTGGAGGCAGAAGCAGTGAAAGACTTCAGAATGGAGAAATGCTGCAGAACCCCACCCATGGACGGGGAGGAGGACACCCCAAAGGTTAGTGCCCTGGCCCAGTGGGCCCATCTTCAGGCAGCAGAAATGTTGTAAACCCTGTGTCAGGGAGGGCGATCTAGACAGCTGTGACGACAGGGCTCCTGCCTGCACTGGGCATGGCTAGGTGATACCTTCTGCCCTCTCCCCAGGGTGGCAGGGCCCGGACTGCTCCCTGCCATGTCCCAGTGGGACATGGGGCCTGAACTGCAATGAGACTTGTGCCTGTGCCAACGGGGCAGCCTGCAGCCCTTTCGATGGCTCCTGCGCCTGTACCCCAGGCTGGCTGGGGGACTCCTGTGAACTGCCCTGCCCAGTGAGTACCCACCTTGGTCCTTTGGGCCTTCTCCAGGGAGGGGGGTACATAGTCCATAGAGAAGAGCTCTGAGTCAGGAAGTGTTAACCTGTGTGGTCTCTTCCTACCCTGGGCCTCAACCTTCCCATCTACAAAATGTCCACTCAGACAGAAATGCGGTTCCTGTTGCTGCTCTCGCAAGCTGAACAGATTGACTGGCAGCTACAGAATCCACCCCACCAGGGCACTCCTAGTGCCCCCCCAAACCAGCAGAATGGCTCTTTCCGGGTAGCATTTGAGTTGCAATCTGGTCACTGTAACTACTAGGGATGGGGCATGGAACCAAGCTCAGCGGCAACCCCACCTCAATCACTGAGCCTGAGGCTGCTAGACCAACTGATGAGACTGAGTGTGGGGTTTATCCTGCCTCCTTGAGTGTTTCTCCAGCTGCTTCCCATTTTTCAAGTGAGACTGGGTGGAGTCATCCTAGAATACTGATGTGAGAATTAAGAGAACAGGACAGGGCGGGGGGGGGGGGCACTTGAGACCTTGTGGGCATGTGTCTCTTTCCCCGGTGACAAGATAGGCCATCCTCAGTCTGCGTGTGGGACAGGTGTGTCCCACAATTAACAAAATATGCTTTGTTTTGTGAGAGAGGATCTCTTGAGCTCACGGCAATCCTTCTGCCTCTACCTCCCGACTGCTGGAGTTACAGGCAGTTTTTTTACCCACCACGCCTATCGACAACCAAGTGCTTTTTAATCTACAATTTGAATGACACCTGGAGGTGATTATCACTTCCCTCTCTCCTGTTCCTATTAATTTAGCCAGGTGATCATTTGCGGATCATTTTTCACAGCCCCGCTGACACCCGCTCACAAAGCCTCGCACGGTGTCCTAGTCTCTGCTCTGGATCCCTAAGAGCTGATAGAAGTGTGCAGACCTCTAGGGGGCCGAGGTATGATCATATTTTTCTCTCCCTCTTCCCCACAGGCTGGCACGTTTGGGATGAACTGTAGCGAGCATTGCGATTGCAGCCATGCCGATGGCTGTGACCCTGTCACAGGCCACTGCTGCTGCCTAGCAGGATGGACAGGTAACCTCTGCCCTACCACTGCCCATATCCCTCCTGGTGATGACTCATCCATCAGTTTCTTCCTGCCCTCACCTGTTCCCTTTCAGCCCAGCACAGAGATGTTTATTTAACACATAGGATGCTGAGACTCTGTTCTCAGGACGTGTATTCATTTCGAGGCCGACAGATACTCAGCCTGTGTACAGAGTGCATGGCACTTCAGAACCTCAGTTCTTCACATCTGTCCAAGATGGACGAACCCTGTCACTTCTCTCTCATCTGACCTACCTTCACCTCCTGGTTGGTCTCAGGCCTTCCATCTTGCCCAGGTGAACCCATTCTGCACATAGTGAGCAGAGGGAACCTCTAAACCAGTCTTTCTCTTCTGTGATTTGATGGAACTGATGTAAAAGATCCTGGCCAGGCACAGTGGTCCACACTTGTAAACCCAGCACTCAGGAGAAAGAGGCAGGAGGAGCAGAAGTTCAAGATCATCCTTGGCCACATAGCAAGTTTAAGGCTAGCCTGGGCTACATGAGAATTCTTGTCATAAGGCCCCACCCCCTGTGATGTGGGCCTGCCCAGCTCCTCTTTTTTGCCCTATTTCCATCACTTGGTCATTCCAAACACCTGGGCCAAAGTACATTTTATTTATTTTATTAAAGATATATCTCATTGTGTAGCTATGTCCAGTCCAGAACTTACTATTTAGCCCAGTCTGGCTTTGAACTTTCTGCATCATCTCCTATCTTAGTCTCCCAAGTGCAAGGATTGGTTTATGGGCAAGCTCCACCAGGCCCTGGCCACTATCCTGATTCCTCACCTCTGCACCTGCCCTCCCTCTCCTCTTGATAGCTCTCCATTTTCCTCAGTAAATCCCTTTTCTCTTCTTCATTTAAAGAGGTGAACAAGTGTTGTGCCACTGGGTCACACCTCCAGCCCTGATAACTCTTTCCCTTACACCAGGCTTCATTCAAGTTGAAGGTTGTCTATGATTACCTGCCAGGGACTAAAGACCCCCATTTATGAATTCTGGTGACCCAAGTCCGTCCTCTGTAGCACTCACCATGGATCTTGGACTCTGATTTGAGTGACTATTTATAGAGCAGCCCTAGGAAGACATCTGCCTTACCCACCCCTGCACCCACTGTCTGCCACATGCTGAGAGAAGAAAACCAGGTTGCTAAGATAGGACCCCAGCCAGACCGCCGGGGCTTGTGAACCTCGGCAAGTCCTCTACTCTGCATGGCCTGAAAGTCTCCACCCAGGAAGCATAGACAACCGGAAGCCTTGTGAGGAACCTTGGGGCTACTTTGGGATTTCTGTGACAGGTACTGTTACATGCTCAGCACCTAGGACAGTGGTCAGTGACATAAACCAGAGTACAGGAAGCTCTCCGTAGCAGTGCACAAGTCAGTGACCACGGCCTGATGACCCCACTGTTTTCTAGCTGGGGAAGTTTCCAATATCCATTCTGGCAGCCAAAGGCCAGGGACGTCCCTCTACATTATGCCAGGTTGAGGTTCCTTTGCTCTGCCAACTACCCCTCAGTGTGCACCAAGGCTCCAACCTTCTCGCTGGTCCCCTACACTGTCAGCTACAGCCCAGTGGAAATCTACTTGAAATCTTCATTGCCCTAATTTTGACAGAGCTGATTTGATCTTAATGACACCCACTTTAATGACGATGCTTACAAACCTGGCTTTGATGGACAGTCTCAGCAAGGCCTCTGCTGGCTCCGCAGCCCCTTTCTCCAAAGGTGGGCTGAGGCTTCTCAAACAGGCGACTGATGTCCTGAGATGTCATGAGGAAGGCCAGGAAAGGCAGAGAGGGTGAGGGGCAGAAACTGGGCCTCCCATACAGTGAGCACCCCTCCCTTTCCTCCCCAGAAACCCTGCTCACCTCCCCATCTGGCTTGGGCTTACACTCTGCCCCCTCATGATAGTTCTAGCATGGCTTATTTACCTTGCCTTGAACATAATAGGTGCTCACAAAAATGCTTCTTGAAATCCATTGAAGAAAGTCATCCGGTTTGACCACATATGGAGAGCTTAGACATTATCTACGCTGGCTCTTGTACTACAGCTAAGAAGGTGTCACAATATCAGTGTCAACACGAGGGGAATCCCAGGACACAGTCTGGAGAGAGAGTATTCACTTAGTGAGTAAGTTATCTGTCATGTAGCCCAGGTTGGCTCAAACTTGCTATGTAGCTAAGGATGACTTTGAACTTCTGAATCTTCAGCATTACAAAGACACCCCAGGTGGGGTATCTCTGCTGTGAAGAGCAACTAGGTCAGCAGGGATGAATTTCAGGATGCCATTGCCCCCTTCTGGTTCCTGGAAGAGAGGTAGGTGCTAGGTATATAAAACAGTTGTAACAGGCAGGTACAGCTGTTTGGACTCTTGGGCAAACATGTAGGAAGACTTCCCAGAGAAGGGCTTGCTGCTGGGTGACTGCCCATTAGTACATGGAGAGGGGCTCCTGAAAACTAAAACTGGGAGCACCTCCTCCAGGTAGGAATGGAGGACTTCGGAGTTTGTTTTCATTTTCCAGAGAGAGAACAAGACTGCAAATAAGAATATGAAATATACATGTATGCATGTAGGGGCACATATGTGGGGAGGATGCATGTGTGTACATATGCACACAGAGGCCTGGGGCTGATGTCAGGACTCATCCCCAATTGCTCTTCCACCTTATTCACTGAGACAGGGCCTCTCAATTAAATCAGAGCTCACCCTCATGACTAGTCTCACCAGCCAGTTTGTTCCGTGGAATTTAGTCTCCACTTTCTGAAGCTGGAACAAGTTACAGGTGGTTGTGAGCCATCATGTGGATATTGGGAATCATACCTGGGTGCTTTTATCCTCTGAGCCATCTCTCCAGCCCTGCACTGTATTCTGGATTATAAGTTGTCTCCATGTGACATAAAGGATGTGGGGAAGGTTGCAACTTGGTTGGTAGCATGCTCACCTGGCATGCACAGACCCCTGAGTTTCATTCCCAGCCCAGCACAAACCCAGGCAAGGTGATGCATGCCAGCAGTCCTAGCACTGGGAGGGTGGAGAGAGGAGCATCAGAACTTTAAGGTCATCCTTGGCCCCAGAGTGAGTTCAAGGTCACCCTGAACTACATGAGCCTATACAGGAGGCCGCATACATTATATGATCATTCTTGGATATTGGTTTCTGTCATGAATACAGAGAGCCAACCACACCTATAAAGGGGAGGCTGGAAGAGGTACCCAAAATCTTTAAACAGCTTTAAACCTTTCCCAAGCTCCAACCATAATCACCCCACATTCCCTGGTCTGCCTCTCAACCCCCTGAAACTCCAAGGGAGAAACTATCAGCAAGGGAGAGTGGAAAATGACACACCTGCCACATTCGCAATGGGCATGCTGTCCCTGGGCAGAAGCAACTACCCATTTTTCAGGGAGTGACACCTGAAGCCGCCCCCATAGCCCCCAGCAAGGTCAAAACGCAAGGCAAGGCACAAGAAGAGAGGTTATCCCCAGCAGCACCCCTCCCTGGCTCCCCACCCTGACTGACTCACCCACATTCCCTCCCTTTCCTGCATATAGGCCAGGCCGGTAGAGCCTCAAAGGCTTGACTGTTGGCTGGGTCTTCTTCCCTCCTGTTGCTCTCTCAGTCCCTGTCCTAACAAGGCAGACGTGACTTTTAGACTAATCCTGAGCTGCCTGGAGCCTCTGAAGCTCACCTTCCAAAGACTGGCTGGTCTCCTGGGCCTGCTCCAATCACCTAGCACACACGTATCAGGATGCCACTCTGCCTGGAAGGAATCCCCACCCTGGCTTTTTAAAATTCCTCCTTAGCCTCCAGGCTGAAATCAGCCCAGCTCAAATATTCTTTGAGCTCAGAGGGACCGTAGATCTAGCGCCCTCTCTTATTGAGATATTCCATCCGTTTCCCCCCATAGGTTGCTGTTTGTCAAATCAAGGGTCAGTTATCAGCATGTCTGAGGTACAGCAAGCATTTTTGGTTTCTTTTACATATGTGATTATGTGTTATAAAATATGCATATGTGTACACATATTTTCTTTTGAGAAAGGGTCTCATGCAGCCCTGACTGGCCTTGAATTTTCAACATAGCTGCGGATGACCTTGTATTTCTTTTTAAATTAAAAGTAAATTTGATAGCGACCGTGAATGACTGCGTCTGTCTGACAGAGCGGGGCTGCCTGTGCCACAGCGGGGGTCAGAGGCCAACTTTAGAATCAGTTCTCTCCTTACATTTTCATATGGATTTCAGAAATGGAACTCAGGCCACCAGACGTTTGTACCAAGAACTTTGACCTGAGATAAGCCATCTCACTGGCCCAACATGTCCTTGATGCCAGCTCAGCTGTGAAGGTGGAGGCAGCCTTCTTTATCTGGTACCACCAGCTCCTCTCTTGCTGGGCTCATCAAGCCTGCCAGGGGTCTGCCATTGTGCCGTGCTCAAGTCCAAGCTATCCGGCCTTCTGTTGTCGCTTGCTCTCCACTGCAGCGACCGCCTTTGCCCAGTCGGTTCCTTTTATCTCTGAGGACTCTGGAAGGGCATCGTCTCCTTTCAGAAGCCCTCCCCGTCATCCCCACCTCCACTGGGTATCCATCCATCTCCCTCCTGCCCCCATTCCTTACTGCTGATTTGCCTCTGTGTTTGGTTCACAGGCATCCGCTGTGACAGCATGTGCCCCCCTGGTCGCTGGGGCCCCAACTGCTCAGTGCCCTGCAGCTGTGAGAACGGAGGCTCCTGTTCCCCAGAGGATGGGAGCTGCGAGTGTGCCCCTGGCTTCCGAGGACCCTTATGTCAGAGAAGTAAGACTAGGCTCCTATCCTAAGGATTTCTGATTTCCCATCCACTCAGCCCCTCCCAGTCAGAAGCAGTGCTAGAGTGTAGAAGGCTGGCCTATGGGAGCCAGGCCGCTCCCCGTTTTGTGCCTTCTTCCCCTACACTGGCTCCTCTGTCCCAAGTTCAGGGCTCAGCCTCTCGGTACAATCAGAAGTAGTCATCAGTTCCTCTCTTCAAAAGGTATGGGCCTCCAGACTCCCTATTTTTAAGGAGTCTCTCTTCACTGGGAGGGGGGACCAAAAAGGTGACTAGGCCAGTAGTTCCCTACAAGCTTTTAACCACCATCTCCCCTCCAACACCCTCAGTCTGCCCACCAGGGTTCTACGGCCATGGCTGCACCCAGTCTTGCCCTCTCTGCGTGCACAGCAACGGGCCCTGCCACCATGTCAGTGGCATCTGTGAGTGCCTACCAGGATTCTCTGGAGCCTTGTGCAACCAAGGTACCCTCAAGTGGTGGAAAGGCCAGGGCGGGGCACCAAGGGGCAGAAAGAAGGGAGGGTCCAGGGGTTCTCTCTCTACACTGTTGGGAACTGAGCGGCACATATGTGAAAAGAGAAAAAGTAACTGTGCCGCTAAAGGCACGGGCTCAAAGAAGCTAAATGTCATGTCTATGGTCTCGCATCTAGTGAGCAGCAGAAACAAATGCAGACTCCAATATTCTTCTAAAAAGAAATGTGGAAGATGAGCCAGGCATGGTAGTACATGTGATCCCAGAACTTGGGAGGCTGAGACAGAGGATTACGTATGCAGGGACAGCCTGGGCTACTTAACCTGCCTCAGGAAACCAAAACCAGGCCTAAGTACAGTTGAAAGAAAGCTTGTCTAGAGTGCATGTGGTCCATCTCAAGCACTATATAAGTTGGGTGTGGTGTCATCTATCTATAAGCCCAGCATTCAGGAAGTAGAGGCAGAAGGATGGAGAAGTCCAAGGTAATCCTTAGCTACACAGAGAGCATGGGGCTAACCTGGGCCACATGAGACCCTGTCTCAAAATACATAACAAGCAAACAAAAGGTAGGAACATGAAATGAGCATTGGTACAACCAGAGTGGCCCTGAGCTAGGACTGTGTGGAATGCCAAGTAGTAAAGGCAGAGATTTTGTGAGGGCACAGAAATGGCCATGACCCCGTCTGTCATTGGCTCCTATCCCCCTCAGGTCAACAGCACTAATCCCTGGTCCCACACACTTCTCAGCTCAACCCCAGAATCTTCCCCAATGTCAACTCCAGGCCTCCAGAATACTGTATAGGCGGCGCTAAAGGGGCAAGGAAGTTTATGGTAGCATACTCCCCCAACGAGCTAGTTTTCTGAGGGTAAGCACCTGTCTTGCAGCATTTACAGGGTTCCATGACATAAACATTTCTGCTATGGCAAATTCCAACACTATTGTCAAAAATCCCTCCACATGGGGCTGGAGAGATGGCTCAGCGGTTAAGAGCACTGACTGCTCTTCCAGAGGTCCTGAGTTCAACTCCCAGCAACCACATGGTGGCTCACAACCACCTATAATGAGATCAGGTGCCCTCTTTTGGCCCACAGACAGGATATAAATAAATAAATAGATAGATAGATAATGCATAAATAAATAAATAAATAAATCTTTAAAAAAAATCCCTCCACACTAGCCACCATGGGAAGCTAAAAGCTGGCCACAGCATCTACCATCCACAGCTCCCTGGGTGGCGCCTGAAGCCTAGGGCAGTGTGACGGTTCGAGAGGGCCCAGGGATTCTGCAGGACTTTGGGATAACAGAACCCAGGCCTGTTAGAATATAGCAGCAGTGAATGGGTGGAAGATGCAGCAACTAGCGATGGGGAGTGGGCTAGGAAGGCAGGCTCGGGATTACTTAGAATGGCTTAGGACATGCCTTTGCTTAAACACTAGCTTGCAGAATTTACACTATAGTCAGTGAGAGTGAAGACAATTGAGAATAATGTGAACCTAGAGCTAAAGGCAACTTCAAAGTCACCTAGGCAAGAATCTCACCTGGCCTGTGCTTAAATACTTCTTTCTCCTGATGAAGAGCTCACTACCTCCAGGGGAAACCATTCTTTTGATACATCATCACCGCTGAGCTGGGCTATTTTTAATATGCACGAATAGAAGTTTGACTCTATGATGTGTTGAGGTCATAAGAAGTTTGGACCCCAGGGAAACATATGTGACAGTTTCATTTGCTTGTAACCCTCCTAGGATGGTTTAATCACCACCTGACAGGCTGAGGTTTATTTATTAAACATAGGAGACCCAGCTGTCAATAGAACCAGGCCCAGTCTAAATGAGGAGCTACGAAGCCCGAGAAGGAACCCTCGCAGCCCATGTCGTCTGATTTATTGCCCACTGGCCTAATGAGTATTTTCCACATATAGATCTAATGGAGTTTGCTATTAATGGCAACTGCTCTGGTTAAGTCTCAAACCTTGTAAAAAATTGAACTGACACTTTCTAATGACTGGCTTTCCAGTGAGTTACAAATTATGGACAGTGCTTCCCCAGAATCATTAAACATAGATTAAATATAACCCAATGTTTTCTTTTCACTGGCCCCCTCCTTCCCTTCCCATGCCTGACTCTTGATTCAGCGAAGAAGTCTTGCAATTAATGCATTAGACCAATCACATTAGCGGCTCTGCGGGTGAATTTGTCCGCCTTGTGTAGGGGGAAGACTTCAAAGAGAAGATTGCCTTGTTAGAGCAGTTTAGTTGTAGGGTGAAGGCTGGTGGATCAGCTCCAGCACCTGCTCCCCACCAAGCTGGGAGGTAGTCCTTTGCCTCAGCCAATACAGGGAGGTGCAAGGAAGGATGGGGCTCAAACTGGATCCTCAGAATAAATCCTTTCCCATAGACAGGGAGGAGGCGGGGCAACAGGCAGTTTAGGAACCAAAGGGTGGAGCTTGAGCAGCAAACAGGGCAGACTCGCCTGGGAAGGGAAGCACAGTGCCTCGGATCAACCCGCCTACCTGCAGCTACAGAAGCCTGAGTGGGGACTCCTGTCCCTGTTTTGATGAGGAAACAAATCTAGGGGGTGGAGTTGGACATGAGTTGTTAAACTGTCCTCAGCGAAGAAGCAGTAGAATTTCTTTGCTGTGTAACCTCAGACAGACAGCTTAACCTCTCCCTATGTGTCAGGGAGATTCAGTGATAGGGAGCAATGATGAAGACATTGTCAAGATTAAGTGAAAGTAATATTAGTCTTGGTGAAACATTTTGGTCAGTTTCTGGTGTAAATGCAAATGTCATGTGTTTGCTGAACGCATAACAAATCTAGGACTCAAATCCAAAGCCTCAGGCAGAGTCGGGTCCACCTGCCTTTATCATCTGCCCCAACCACGAGCCATGTTCACAGAGGTAGAGACTACATGTACATTCTGGCTACCTGGTGCCCACAGTCAGGCTAGGGAAGAGCTGGCAATGGGAGGCAGAGTGGAGGAAGGGAAGTGATGGCTTCGCTGGTTTGAGACCTAACCCAAAGGAAGCCACTTTCCTCCACGAAATCAATACCTATTCCAAGGGGGCCGAAGAGATGGCTCAGTGGGTAAGAAGGCTAGCTGCTCTTGCAGAGGATCTGAGTTCACGTTCTAGGACCCATGTCAGGCAGCTGACAACTGCCTCTAACTTTACTCCAAGGTTTCTGATGTCCTCTTCTGGCCGCCACAGGCATCTGCTCACATGTACACATGCCTGCACACAGACACATATAAATAAATATTTAAAAAACCTATTCCTGGTCCTCTGATGATCACAGTGGTAGAACCTTCTAGATTGCCGTGACTCCCAAGGCCTATTTCCTCAGTGTTCACTGGACAGTCAGATACAAGAGAAAATGAGACCACATTATCTGCCCTTGCAAAGTTTAGGCCAGGGGACCAGGGAGAGAGGTAGGAGAAGGGTGATGTTTGGTCCTAGTGGCCTGAGTGTCTGCTGTCTCTCCAAGCATTGTAGGGGACACCAGAAGGGGCAGGACTCAGGCTTGGCTGGAAAGAGCTATTAAGTCTCAGTAAAAAGAGGGTTCAAGGAAGAAACTACTTGCAGCCTCAAATAGGGACACAGCCACCCAGAAGGGAGAAGATAGGTAAACTAGCTAGGGAGGAAGATCAAACACAATAAAACCCCTAAGTAAATGACGTGGAAATGATATACATTGTTTTGCTTACATACTAAGAAAACAAAAGAGATCCAAAAGCAGGCTGCTGGGGACCGCCAAGGTATTTTAAGGCTTGCTCCATCTTATTGTTCCAAGGTAGGTGAGTCCCATAGGCAGAACATCCATAGTGGGACTTGAGGGTCAGAGGAATTTAGAAGGCACTAGTCATAGGAACAGCACAGCAGAAGGGCCTGGATACCCTTAGAAGGAGGTGTGTGGTCCAGTGGCCCATGTGTCTAGGAGGGCAGTCAAGGATAAGCCAGGGGAAAGCAGAAGGCTGGGAGGCAGTGTAGGAGCACAGGACTAAGAGTCCATCTGACCACTTTCTATCTGTGAGACCCAGGACAAGCGATGTCTCCCCTATGTGCCTCAACCTGTCCTTGTCAAAGGAATC